TACTATAAACAAGTCCTGCAAATTCACTCAGCAGAGATGCTGTTGGAAGTGGCCCTTTTTGGATGAAGTAATCTTAAAAAAAGAATAACTCCCTCACCACCACCTTTTCGTGTCATGATGGAAAATAACCACTGCCTTGCTGCTGTTGCAGACTTGTCGCTTACACTTCATCTTTGAGCTGACCTTCTCTCTAGGTCTTCTCAGCTAGGCTTACGTTTCGCTCTTGCTGACTCTTTATGCAAAATATTTCAAACATGGCCTTTCTCGTCCATCTGCTCAGCTAAATCCGTCACAACTCAGGCTAGCGGTTACCGCAACATTTTTTTTTATTATTTTTGTTTGCCCCCTGGCCATGAGAAGTGAAATCTTGCCCTGATGATGTCTGTTGAAAGCAGTGCTGCAGATAATTTCCTATCCCGTATTCACATCATCTCCTTTCATCCTGCCACTGGCTTCCCCATCAATGTTATCCCCTGCAAGTCACACGTCTTCGCTTTTGAAGCCCTGCATGTCCCATTTCTGCTTCCCTGCTGTTTCCAATTCCCTATTTACTTTCTCTCTGAACCGCCCGTGACACCACCTTCCATCCCTCACTCAGCCACTTTTCAAACAGCACCAAGTTTTGCTGTTTCTCAGGCAGAATTTCTGCTAGACTTTGACGCCGTTAATTGATTAACTTCCCACAAATCCCTCAAAAAAGTCTTCTCGGTTGCTCATAAAGCACTTGAAAACAATTAGCCTGTTGCTGTACTTAGCGGGCTGCCTATCGCCAGAGTACAGATTGCCTCAGTTTCCTATTTTCACCGTCAATTTGTTGTTTCTTATCTTTGTGTGCATTATAAGCACGTTGAGAAAAGAAACATCCTCCTCCTTTTTTTTTTTTTTTTTTTTCTTTTCATTCTACCTAGCGCAGTTGGGGTCTGGTCACAGCGTAGCTCCTCTCCTGCATCAGTAGGAGTAAATAAAACAGGTCAGGACGTCGTCTCCAGCGCTCTCCTGTGCTGATGCATTGGCTCTAATTGGTAGCACATTCGTTTATAGGGTTTTGTTTTGGAGCTAACGCTTCCTTGGCCAACACCGAGCATAACCGGGGGAACAGCATCTGCTGGGGACTGTCCCCGGTTTGCAGTTTGGATGGGGCTGTGCTGAGCTGCTTGTTTGGAGGGGAAGGCGAGATTTTACACTTAAGAGATGCAGGTTGTGCTGTATCGTGCTGCTTGGCCTTGGACCCAGAGGATCATCTCTGGTCTGTTTTATTTAGTAGTGCACAGGTAGCCTTAGATGCCAAGGGTTACACAAATAAAAACAGATGCTTTTGATAGGTGTCAGCATTTTAATGAGGAATAAAATTAAGCCCTGGATACTTCTGGCCATCTAATGGCCCTATTTTTTGTATTGCATGCTGGTTTTTTGTTGCTATTTTTTTCCCCATATTTTATGACAATTGCCTGAAGTCCTGACTGGTGGGATTATGCCAGATACCTGCACAGCTGGAAACTCATCAGCGATTCAGATTCCTTCAGTCAGAATGTCAGTTTTATCACAAAACTTGTAAAGCTTACCATGGTGATTTCAAATTTCCTCTTTAGTAGACATTTTGTTTGAATGCCATGAAGGGGCTCCTTTCTCGGCGCCCCCAGGAGTACAATAAGCTATGCTCTTTGAGAGGGGCTAGATGAGTACAAAGTTACCTTCATTAAATTTTCTCTTCATGTTTTAGCATAGAATATTTCTTTTTAAAACACTCTCTCATTTTCTTTTGTGTCTTCATCCTGTTACCTTTATGAGATTGCGGTGCATTGGCTTGATGGAAAAGGTGGGTGCGCGGCTCCCTTGGAGGTTTATTCCAGCACACAGAAATATTCTGCTAGCATGTGAGGTGCTTGAGGAGCAGCTGGAAAAGCAAAAGCAGATCAAGTAATTGTAAACTTAATAAAAACGCGTCGTTACTGGCGTGCCATGTGGCGCACGGTGCAGATCAGACTGCTGTTCATATTGACTTTTGCTAAGAAAGGCATTTTAGATTTCATGTGTGTTGATTCTGTAGTTATTGAGTTGCACTGAACGGAGATGGAGATCTGTCAGGGTTCCCTGGCAGTCCTGGTTCACTACTACGTTACGTATTTTTCCTTCAGTTTAGTTGTGAAATCCCAAGTGATTAAAAAAATAAAATAAAATAAAATAATGGGCTACTTCCCCTGCCACATGTCCCAAAATACAGATCTGTCTCTCAGGAGATAGTACAGGGAAGGGACTTCAGCTCTGGGACCAGACCACGTTGCTTTATCTGTTCAGGTATTTAAAACCTTTATGTTTTTACTATGGATTCCACATAATTACTGATTTTGCGCTATCTACCGTTTCTTACAAGCTTTTTCTTCAGTCAAGCCCCACAGACCCTTAAATGCTTCTGTAAAATGACCCTTATTTATAGGAACATTAGAGAAGTTCTGGTTTAGGGAGATATTTCATTTCCCTTTTGAGGAGTTTCCTTGCTGTTGGCTGTTTCTGACCATCCATCTGAGAGTCCTGTCATCCATCACCAAACAGAAATCAATCGCAAACCCTTCGGTGGGGTTACCATAATGGACATTGAAACCTTCTTTCCTGAACGGGAGATCCTGCAAGCACGTGGTTTATGGCCATCTAATGTTAGACAGTAATCTCATTTAGCATTTTCCCAAAAGTGCAAATAGTGCATTAGGGTAGCGTAACAAGCACAGCAGATCAATACGGAGACGGTGATCTCCTTCAACAGATTAATCCAAGAAAATGGACTTTGTTGACTTGAAGGAAGTGACCCTGTTCGCATTGACCTGCATTGGGTCTGCAGTGCCTGGAAGGACAGGCAGTGTTTTGAAAAATCACCAGTGAAAAGTCATAGTATGAAAACAAGTGAGCGTGGGGCAGGAGACGACGTGTCTCACAGGACTCCGATATGGTTGGCAACGTAAAGAGTCCGTTGAAGCATTCAAATAAGGGATAATACGTGGACTTCGAACGGTCACTAATGGCATGGCTCAAGAAAAAAGCAATCAAAAAAGCTCCTTAATGTGGGTTAGAGTACCCCGTTGAAATGGCTTTAAATACATTTACAGAATTTATGTAGCGAGTGTACAGCAGCCCATTTCCTTCACTCTTCACCTTTATATAAGAAGTCACTTTAAAATCATTTGTGAATAAAGGCACAGTTAGGTTTACTGTGTTATTTTTTGTTAACTCATGGTCTATTGTATTGGTTTATCAATCCAGACCAGGGTTTCAGGCATTTAAAACGAGCTCTGGTTTAGTCAGACCTAAATCATCACCGCTGTGAGTCTTACCTCTACAAAGAGCGTACGTGGTGCTTCCTCCCGTACTCCATCCCGATACGGACCTTGCCGTAATCAGTCTGTGTGCAGCAGTTTGTGGTCATACATTTTGATGCCTAACACGCTTTTGAAGCGCTTGCTGATATCAGCAGAGGGGGGATTAAGGGAAAATCCTCATCTGTAAGAGTCTACAGAAGTTTGAACTTTCAGATCATAAAGTACGTAAGCACGTGGGACTGCATTTAAATTCTGTTTTAGGTATTTCACAGTTGTACGGTAATGAATGAAAAGAGCAAGAGGGATGTTTTATATAGGTATATACTGTAAAATCAAGGTGACTTAACATTCCTTTTTTTTAGTACTACATCTTGAGTGATTGCCAAGAAGTCAGTTCCCCTAAGGAACAGCATTGTGCTTCGCGTTTCACTTTCTTACTGTAGTAAAACAGAGCTCTGCCTTGGCCAATCAGCAAAATAAGAAGGAGCAGAGTATTCATCTGAGGATACTGTGGCTGATGAGTCTCATTTTTTTTACGACCTTATCAAACTAAAAATAATGTGGGCTGGAATGGATGTTAGAGCGGCCACTGTCAGGCTTTCCTGGTAGGTGGGAAGGTGCGTGAAGTATACAGTCCGCACACGTAAAGCAAATGGTTGTTTTCAAAGCATATGAACTGTAAATGGTGTTCTAAATTTTCACGGGTTATTTTTCTACCATTGAAATATTTTATCTTTGGTGTGAAAGGGGTTTGACTGTGTTTTGATTGTCTCTTATAGAAATAAGTGCCTTAAAAAGAATTTATAAAGTAAATGGCCAGTTAGCCTAAAATTTCAGTGGACATTTCGTCTCTGAAACACTTTGCCAACTCTCTTACTTTTGAAATAAGAATGTACTGTATTCCCATTTTAATTCTGTGGCAGTATCAGCGTGGGTAACATTTTATAGATTAATGCAAGTGACATGATTTTTGTCTGAAAGAGGCTGGATTTTACAGGACAGGCTAAAGAAGCATCCATTGAAGGCAAAAAGCATATTGCATCAGCCAAAAAGATGGCAAGAGTAATGAATCCATGCAGTAAAGAAAATAGACAAAATGCCTAAATAACTTGCACATCTGGCATCAGGATTAGAATTGAGGTGATGGGAAGGAGGATGCGCCAAAAATAGAGGCTATCATCAGATCAGCAGAAGTAGGTTGTGTTATTTGCTGATGGTAGCAGGATTTTTATATTCTCGAGGTCAGCCCAATGGGTGATTTCACTTTGATGCAGGAGCAATATTTAATAAGTAGCAAGATGATATGGTCATAGGGCTATACAGTGATGAAGCTTTCCTGTGGTTCTGTGACTGTTTTTCTGATGTAGGTGAGATCAGATGTGCTTCATCATCGCTGGGACCTTCAGTTAAAGATGTGTGGTCATATGAAGTTGGATGTTAATTGTTGGATGTTAGGACACATGTCGTCCTAATAGCCAAACTTCTGCCGCTCACCTTGATGTTTGTGTCTGATGTTACCCACTTTATAGCCCAAATAGCTCTAGAAACAGCCTTCATTTATAACTTGAAAGTGTTTTCCTTCACTTCTATTATTTAGTTTGCTTCTTCAAAAAAAAAAAAAAAAGAAGTTGTATCTCTGCTGCTGAAATCTTTTTGAGAAGGAAACCAAAATGTTCTTTTCTCTTTCCGCAGGCGATATGAGTCTCATCCAATCTGCGCTGATCTGCAGGATAAAATTCTGCAATGTTACCGGCAACATGCTCAGGAGACCCTCAGCTGCTCTGCCCTGGCTAGCCAGTACCTGCGTTGTGTCAATCACGCCAAACAGGTGGGTGTAGAAATATTGCCGCTGAATTAACGACGGCATAAAGAAGAGAGGAAGACTATGGGATTATCCAATTAGTCCTTCTCATATGCTAAAGCAGTACTGTTCCCGGTATGTATGTTCTGACAAGCTCTGTGGAGTCCACTTTTAATTTATTTAAATGCTCGGGTTTCCGTCTCTTCTCTTGGGAAGCTCTTGTTTAGTGTAGTAGCTCTCGCTGTTGGCAGATGTTTCCTGGTATCTGCAGTTTTAGCAGTAAAACAAGGGGATTAAACTACCTGGTGCTATTTGTCATAACTATGACGACTTTCAGTAAGAAATGAATGGATGTCTCAAACTAGATTGCTCACCAGTTGGAAGTCTTGATTTATTTTATGTTATGTACTCTGAGAGTCTAATACTACTGTTTACCTGGTCTTGCCCTCCTCTCATCCAGTTTGCTAGGGTATGGGTTGTTACTGTAGATCATGAAATTTAATGCTTTATTAGCGCAGCATAAGGGAAAATGATAGCAATATATACATCTTTCGGTTAAAGGAAGCTAAAATTTCTAAACATGATTCTTTTTCAACAGCTTACATCTTTCAATGCATATGAAAGAGATGCATATGTTGACCTCGACTGTGCTCTTAAAGAAGCCAGTTGCAAATGTGCTTATAGGCCATATATGTAGTGTATGTTAAAAGTGCTTAAATAAGCCTGTTGATCTTTATTTCTGCTAAAATCTATGAGTTAATATTTGAACATGTGAAAATGCATGCTCTAATGTGTTAGCAGAGACCCAGCAAGCACGTCTCGTATTTGATAATGATGATAATTTTCACTCGAGTTAATTCTGCCTGTATGGAAAAGTAGTAATACTTTGACTATAATCATTCACCGTGACCTTTAGCTGTTACACTGGTGCAGTCTTGCTCTGGTATTACTGAAGATCTTGCTGGAGTTAACGCTGCTTATGGTCTAGTGCTGTGTAAAACATGGTAGGAGCCAAGAGTTGCGTGGCAATGCTAAAACTGTTCCTCAGTCCGCAGCACTTGGCGCATTTGTGTGGCGCTATTAGTGTTAATTCTTTGTTTATATAGTTAGTACGCTCCTTTTTGCACAGGCGGCCTGGCTGGATTGGCAGCGCTGGAAGACAAACTCAGCTAACAGCTGTAGCGTGGTTGTTCTCTGAACAGTGCAGGACGAGGACGATTTGTGTGGCTGTCTGGGCAGCGCTAAAATCACTTTATGATATTAAACGTTGTTATCATCAGTCAAAACTTGAAAGAGGATCCCTGTGATGATATACAAAAGTCAGTGAGACCGCTCTGTCCCTTTCAAAATCACCTCCTTCAGTATGTCCTTTGGTGTTTCTCCTGCCCACTTGTTAATGCACCAAGCTCCTGAGCTCCTTCATTTCCTTCAAAACTCTCCAGCCTACCAGATCACCCTGCTTATGAAAAATTTTCCCGATCTCCTAGCCTGAGGCTTTCTTTCATAAAGCTCGTGATACTTTATTAATTTTGGAAAGATGGTTGAGGCATGCTCAGACACCCAAGCGTGAGCGGTGCAACCAGCTTTGTCCAGGTGCCTTCCCTGGGCACAGGAATTTTGCTCATCCCTAAGCTGTACAGTTCTCCATGACCTTTTGAACCGGATTTTTTTTTCTTTAAATTGAATGGTGATTTTTTAAAATTAATTCCTACTATGACAAACAATAGTTGGTGTGTATAGTTATTTTTTCTACATTTTCTCTTAGTTTGATTTTTGTATTCCAAAATCCAGTCTGAAGTTACTGGACCATGGGTGTTTCTGAGACATTTTAGAAAAAAGGCCAAAGAATAATATTAGGTTGTTATGTAGTGGACTAGATTTTCACCATGGCTTGCATCATCTGGAACACTAACTTACTGTATTTATAATTCTATATTATTTTTTTAAGTAACTAGAAAATTTAGATTAATTAGTTATACATGTTTAAGCTATAACTAAAGTTTCTGTCTGATAGGAATTTCTTCAGAAGACACTGATGAGGATGAATTAATTCATGTTCAGAAGGTGCAGGAAAAGGAGATTGCATAAATATGAGCATTAGGTTTTCGAACCCTTTTAAACACCTTTTTTGTTGAAGATCTTCAACCAAGCCTGTCAAGTAGTTAAAAGTGTTTCCTAATTGCTTCTTATTCGCTTTCACACATGCTTCAAGATGAGAATTCAGAGAGGTTTCTCTCTTATGATAACAGAGAAGGAGAAGCCTTTTATGATGGAAATATTTGCAAGCAGGAACAATTGTTTTTCATAATGAACATCAGCCCTCTATAGCTCATCCTCCGTGTGTTGCAGCTGTAACTGTAATTATTTTTACTCGCTGATTGCCCAGAGGTCCAGACAAACAGTTACTTTGAAATAATTCCTAAACGCTGTTATAAAATACTGCAAAATTACCTACTGTGTGTGCTTGGTTGGAAGACAGAGGAGTGGGATAAATAGCAGATTCAGAAATGAAGAAGTTAACTGACACTGGCTACAAGAAACAAACAAACAAGGAGATTTGCTAGAGGGAATAGACCAAGATATTGAAAACCAAATAAGTTAACTAATCCGATTTCCTGGCGGTGAGTCTGGGCACTTGTGCTTAGGCTGAGCACACTCTGTGCTTTTCATAAATTGAATTTATTGACTCCTCTTTCTTTCCTATCTTGCTTATAATTATCTCACCCTCTCTTCTGTATGCTCCTTATTTCTCATCCTGTCTGTAATCTCATGTCTCTATCTGTCCTTTTCTCCCCTTGTTAGAAAGGCCCAGAGAGCTGTTAATTCAGAAGAGTTTGACACATTGTTGTATCTTCACTTTAAATCTCTTCCCAAAGTCATGAGAAGCTAGTGAGATAAATTAAACTGTTATTAATGTTTGCATTTTATTATAATAGTAACGGAGAGAAAAACCTACTTAATGGAGCCATTAAGGGAAGATATTAAGATTGTCTGAGGCATGTATTTGTGCTCCCACTGCTGAAGTAACTCCAGCCAGACCAGTCACTGCGCTAATACAAACCATCCAGTGCCATTTTGATCACTTCTCCTAGTCTGCCGTCCACTGATACGGGCAAAGTGGCTGTTAAAATACAATTTTTTTTTCATTTTTATTGTTTTTTTTATTTCCCCTGGGCTACAGGGAGTCCTAATTCCTATATGGAAACACAACTAGACTGTAGCTTAATGAAGTCAGTGCAATAGCTTTCTATTAGACCATTGAATTTCAGAGGGATGCAAGTCTCTGCAGGCAGGTGAGATTTGAAAGTACTTCAAAGAGTGATATCAACAGCTGCTGGTGTCTGACAGCCGGGCTACAAAATGTTATCCGTCAGCCTCTTCAGCCTTGTTGTAACCATTATTTTAATTTGTAGGATAGAGTGGTCCTTAATCATGCATCCTAGTCAGAATAAAGCCATTATTTTAACCTCATCCTCCAGTATTTTTACTAGATACCATCTTCCAATCTAATAGAAAAATATGTAAAATTAGTGTAGCTGGAAACACTGAACAGAAATGCAATAAAAAGGCATTGTCTTTTATGGCCACCATTTAACACCACTTGAAGGAAGTTTATTATGGAAGAGTCAGACCAGGTCCCCTTCACACCTACACTGGTGTAATGAAAAAACCACAAGAAAAAAAAAATTAAATACATGAAGTAAATTTGTAGGTGATGCTAAATGGCAAGAGACGGTAAAGAACATTAAAAAACCCCAAAATGTAGGCAAAACCAAAGCAAGCCCTGGGACTCTCCCAATTGTCTGAAGATGAAATTTTGTGGGCAGAAATATGCATGTGATGAAGAAATACCTGCGATTTCTCTCCTTAGAAAGACAAATAAAAGTAACACAATTTTTCTCAGATCTTTTGGGAATTTCCTGCGTTAACTTATGCAGTGTCGAATTTACGTAAAGTTAATATTCAGCCCAGTGATGGCTTCGAGCAAGTTTCTGTAATACCACTGCAAAAAGACTCTTCCAGGTATAGTAGCCTTCATCAGTTTTACAGAAATCTCTGTGGGGATGCTGTCAAACTGAGATTGGAGATTTTGTTAACTAATAAAAGTTTCCCTTATTTTTGTTTGTAATAGCACCTAGGGAGCATAAAACCGTCTCCTTTTATTTTGTCGGCGTGTACTTCTCTACCATGGATTCTGGAGAATATTTGTGATCACAAGGACTTTTACCATCCTTTCATGTGCACGCTGTCCTGCTCCTTGGTACACCTCTTAATTCTTGCAGAAACACTGCTTGATCTAGTTGAATGGTTCAATGGGTTATTTTTAGAAATACCATGAGAATTTGGTTAAAGACATACATGACAACAGGTTTTTCACTCCCTTTATTTTTAATTTTCCCGAGCCCTAACTTCTGTGACTCTGAGAATGCAGTCCAGACTCGTGAGACAACGTGCCCTGTCCGGCCAGATACTGCTGCTCAAATACTTGAATCAGCTGTTTGTAGGTCTCCTGTAAGATTTCAAGGTTTACATTTGGGCTTGCTCCTTACATAAGCCCTAAAAATTATCAAATCCCTTCCCACCATTTCTTACAAGAAGACTCGTAATTCCTGTCTTCTCCACTTTATGGATTTCGTAGGCAAGAACAATAGATTGCCTTGGTCAACGTCATAGTCCTCCAGTGAACATAGATGGCCCCCAGCATGCTTTTACTGCCTAGGCTGTCAGTGTCCTAGTAGATCTCGTTTTCTGCTCTCCTTACGGATCTAGACAAGCAGTATCCATACATGTGCTCGTTTCTGCAGACCCCTTATTTCTAGATCATGGCAGTAGGAAGTTCTTCATAGAGCCCTCCATCCTGTCCTTGCAAGTCTGCATTTTCATGGTAGAGGCCAAGACCTCTCTGAAGAGTCAAGACCTTGATGGCAGAGCGCTCTGGTGTGGCAGGAGGAATAACTCTTGGACTACTTGACAGATCTATACTTTTAGCTCTTGGTGTCCTGGCTGTGCACAGGAGGTGATTAATGAAGTGCAAGGTCAGTGCAACATGTTCAGACTATCGAGATTTTGATTATGACTCAGAACAGAGGAAGGAGGTAGGTAGGGGAGATACTTTGTGTTATATGACTTCAGGATATATTTCCTCGAGTATGTAATTGCTGGGAACAGGATTTATCTTATTGTAAGGTCAGACATTTTAATTTCCTTAATAGCCATAGGATGACTAGAGCCATGATAGCGTTAGGATGGATGAAGAGGAATCGTTCCTGCAGCTCTTCAGGCCTCCAAATGGCTGGCTTGTTGAGTCCTCAAATAGCTTCATTCTGCCTCTGTGACTTGTCTCTGTGATGATGTGGATGTTGACAATGTTTCTTTTTCTATATTTTAATTTTAAAACCGGCAATTCCTAAGAAGGAACTGTAGCCAAACTTCTCTGGAATAACTTTGAGTTATTGTGTTTCTCCCTTCCCCTCCCCCCTGACCACTTTCTTAGCAGAGCATGCTTGGGAGAGGAGGATAAAGGCATTGTCCAAATCAAGCACAAGACCATCAACTCTAATTTCAGCAGAAGAGCATTTTTTTCCCCAAGAATGATATGACAGCCCATTTACAGGGCAGACCAATAAAGAGAAGAACTGGAAGAGCCATTTCAAGAGTAGCAGCCATCACAGCTCAATCAGTGTGACCATTTGAAAAGCCAAGACCTGTATCTTATTACATCAGAAATCATACATCCGAAGATACTGTTCAGTCTTAGTAAAATCCACTTATTGGTGATTGAAGGAAGGAAAAGAAAAGAACCTTTCACTGACCTCAGAAAGGGGAAATATCCTTCAAATGCTGCTATTTCATTGTAGAATCTCCTGAAAAACTTCTCACTGGCAAAGGCACGGGTATGTAACACTTGGTGTGCCGGGACGTGGCGGTACTTTGTGAGCCAGTCAGCCGCTGCTCCTCACTGTACAGCCTGTATTCGTTGCTCGTATTAAGTTTTCCTTACAATGTATAATGACGTAAATTGTGCTTTAACTTATTTCACAAATTATGTAACTTAATGAAGTCTCTCTCCAGGCCTTCTGCTGGAATAATGTTAATGATCCAACACTTAAAATGTAACATGGCCTTTATTTACGTGAAATGATTCTGTTGTGCTCCTCACTCCTATCAAGTACTGACGAATATGCCTCGCTCTGTACCAACAATAAATATATTTTATGCACAAGATTGATGTCTCAGTCTGTCTCTCTTTCCGCTTCTCAGAGGCGGATGGTGTTCCCTCTGCTGTGTCAATCATGTTTTTCCAGCAGATGTTATTGCTGAAGCTTTAAAGTGTAGACTTTTATGCATAACCAACCTTGATTTCAGGAACAGTACTTACAGAGAACTGTTTTCCATCACAGCAACCTAAAAGGATCCCGCGTGATAGCGTGCTGTGATTCATGCACCGCCAGAGTTTCCTTTCTTGGAAAGTGCTTGTGAATGAAAGGGCATGCAGTGCCCAAAACCGCAAACCATCTTTATGCAAGTACCCAGTTTCATTTAATTGTTTTTGTTTAGATAACAACTGCCGCATTCATCTTATCAAGCAATCTTAGGAAAGGTTTTTATACGATAGTAATAGTAACAATGTCAAATGAGCAATGTGTCTAGAGCTTTCTGCTATTTATTTACCTGTTCTGTTTCTCTAATTGGCGATGTTTGAACTGCGTCCTACTGTACAACTGCGAGTGCACCTGGGGATCTCATTTATATTCAAAATATTGCCGGTGACCCTCCCATTCTAATTATCAAGATGCTTTGTGAGTACTGTTTAATTAAGGATTCTTTTTTTTAATGCTACAAAAAGAAGCTGGGCTTTTTTCCGTGTGAAGCGACTGTAATATCAGTAGGAGAGGAAGATCGTGGAGTTCAGCATCAGGTGCCAGGTAAACTGCTTGAGAGAAATAATAGGGACATAAGCGACATGTTTACATGGTGACTTGCTGTAGTGTTTACAAATCAGCTAACTCACAAATTCTCCTTTATAATGTTCTCTTTTGTAACAGAGAGCCAAGAAGTTGGCAGATCCATCCTTGCCAGACTTAGAATTGGCAGCAAAATGCAGTATAGAGAAAAAGCAGACGTTTTTAAGGCCAGATGATTCTGTAAAATCAGGAGAAGAGCTATGTCGGGAAGGAAGGTCTCTCTTATTGCCAAATGTTTATTGGTTTCCCGTCCTGACAGCCTTGAGCAATGGGAGTCAGTCTTGCTTGCTTTGTTCCAACTGTGTTTCGGGCTTCATTTGAGATGTTGTGTTCTTTAAACATCTTCTGTATCATCAGTAGCGGCATCTCTGGCATGTGTTGCTTGAGCTTGGGGGGTGCTGATTGCGGCAAAGAGGGCGTAGATTTTAAATTGTCCACGTTGTGGACAACTTCTGCCTTTAAAGTAGAGCAGCAGTTCTGAATGTTTCTGGAGTGAGCTTCAGTTTGCCACCTCTTCTGCCTTTACCACCCGTCCTTCCGTCAGTCTTTGACTTCTTCCTTCTCCCCACTTGCTGGTATGGCCATGAAGCAGGACACTGTTGTTTAGAAAACAGAGTTGAGAGGTGATGTTGGACATTTCTGCACAAGGAAGCAGTAGGTCTGCCTAAAATAGAGACATTTGCCATCTTTTGTTTTGAAACTGGATAATGATGTTTTAAAACAAATAATTAAAAAAGCAAGGTTCATAGGATCTGAAGAAGCACAAGCAAGAGAAGGGTGTCTGCTGCTTACTGTTTATGGTACGGGGTGGGAGGGAAGGAGGAAAAGTGCTGGGTCTGTTCTCAACAATGTTCTTCCAGCCAAGACTTACCTTGTAGCTGCATTTCAAGACTGAAAATCTTTCAAGTTTCCCATTTTTCTTCTTTTTTTAGAATGGAAAACCTGTGGGGAGGTCTCCCTCCTTCTCAGAAGTAACCAGATCTCTCTAAGATTGCTCACTGCCAAACTGAGAGTTTGAACTCAGCTTAATGGATCCTGATCTCAGAAGGGATGACAGGGATGATGTTCTCTAGGGATGACAGATGAAGGCATGACACTCTCTGCCCATGGTAGAGAATAATTTCAGATGTTCTTGTTGGTCATTCACAAGCTCTGATCAGCTGTAACCAAAGAGCAATTTTACCTAGGGTTTTAAATGGAAAAGCAGTATTGTAACAGCTACATCAAAGCTTTTCATTGTTCTTTGCTCAGTGTCTGTGGAACAAATCAAAAGTCTTTCAATGGTGTCAAAATAATCACTGCTATCCTACTCTCGTGTAATTTAGCAGTGTTAGACTCTTTCAAATACTAGACTTGCTTTCCTCAGGAGTCGTGTGTGTCTGAGACAGATCTCATAACCTTACAGCATTGGGTTTGTTTTTTTTTTTTTCACCTGTTAGGATATCCCTGCGTTCCAGTTTCAAGCAGATATTTGGAATTAGCTTTAATATGAAAATGGCTGCAGGTTGAGATAACTTGTACAGCTCAGATGGCGACTTCTTTGTTCTCTTTTAGATTCTGTGCCCTTTTTGCGAGAATGTAAAGAGCAGAAGGGAGTTTCAGGTGGACTCCATGTGAAGGAGTTACATGTCATCTCTGAAGCTGAAGAAGCAATAGGAGGGGGAGTCTTTCCCTTTTCTATCCTTTTTATTTTCCTTTCCAAAATAACAGAAATTCTAGACAATATTCTTCTCTGCAAACTGTTGCAAGGTCTTCCCTCCAGCTGCGAGTCCTGATCGTGTTTGGGCAAGGCAAACTGATTATTTCTAGTGTTTTCTTTATATGCATCTTTCTATTCTATGAGCACCTAGAGATCCCTAATCAAAACCAGTCGTTCATCACAGTAGGTACCGCTGGGACAGAGCGAGGCAGCCTTGCTTCCCAAATAACGGGGACAGACAAAACTGAAGGGTGCTAAGTCATCTGCCCAGTCTGCCGAATCTCATTTGCAGGACCCAGAAATCGTCAGGCATTTGTCCCGTGCCAGTGGGTAACACATTGCAGCTCACCTGCCCATAGTAAATCCTATTTGATCGAGAGGTGGGTGTTGCCACTTAAAACCAGATAAGGATTTAGATTTTGGTGTCTTCTCACCTGCAGGCAAATAGCCGCAGAATTGAATTTTGTAACCTGGTGAGTTCATAATTTGCAAAGGTTTGTGTTGAGCTGACGCTGCGTTTTGGAAGTTGGCTGAAGACACAAGAGAGGGGACTGTGGAGGAAGAGCACCAGAGGGCGTGCGCAAGGTGGGCATCCATTCTGCAGCCATGAGAGTCCTTTGTGTGTTCAGCTCTAACATCTCTTCATATGACATCATCTGGATCAGCATTAATGAAACCATTTGTGTTCATGCTTTAAGAACAGTGATTCTTCCTTAAAGAGCTGGGGGCTGTTTTCAGGGCTGAGCACCCACTGTCACATCAAAGCTCAAGATGAGCAGCGAGTGACTACCAGACCCTGGCTCTTGAAAGCCCAAGGCAAGATTCAAGTAGGAGTCTGGAAAACAATGAGGGAGTAAGCTTGGGGAGGGAAGTTGACAGCGATGCTCACGTTGGGTTTTGCCAGGCGAACACCCTGCTGTTTTCAACTCTGCGTTGGAGAGGAACGCCTGTCGTCTCAAGTCGCCTTCCTGTCTGCTCTCAGATGCTGTTCTTATCGGAGGGAGCCGCATCGAGTAGGGCCTGGAGGAAAGCGCATCTCTAGTTTGATCATCAGTGTGGTGGTGATCCCACAGCGCTGTGCTAAGGATATTCCCACCAGAGAAACCTATGTGCAGCAAAGGTCCGGTGCCCCTCCGTAGTCTGCCTGGCAGCAGAACGGTCACCGCAATGCAAACTTGTCTGTACCAACCAAGGAGCTTCATCAGCATCTACCCCTCCCTGAGGAAGAGGGAGGTATCCTGAATGTGGTGTGAGGAGGACCTGGGTCTTCAAGTCATTGTGAAAGAACCAGGCAGGTTCCCAGAAAGCATGGGGCGTTGAGCCAGGCCTCCTCTGCAAGAATCTCTGCTCCATGTGAACAAAGACTCTCGGTAATTAGAGAGGTAATTAGTTTAGTAATTACTGAGGTAATTAGTTTGATTCTCTCTCAAGCCAGTAACTGCTGGGAAGAGAACACTCAGCCATTGTGCTGGAGGGAGCTGCAGCAACCCCCCGCCGGGTTAACCCTTCTCCATCCTGCTCAGGAAGTAGCATCTGACATTGCTAAGAATGGGACAGTTTGGAGGATAAATGACCCGAAAAGGCCTGCTTGTCAGAGGTCTTGTGCCCAAAAACTTTAAAGCTACTGTCCAATGACATCCAAAAGTGCTTGTGCCGTAGTCAGGAGAGGACCTAAGGCAGCAGATACCACATCACAGCTGGGCTGTTTATTACAAAGATTTTACATAACGTTAAAACTGCTGGGGGCACCTTTGGGGTAACCACGTCAAAGTGTCCCCATGGCATTGCTGCTTTTGGGAGATTAGGGTTATTCCACCGCTCCTTGTATTAGATCTTCCACATCCCTTTGCCCATGGGCTGCCTTGCTGGTTTAATGGAGGCACTTCTGCCAGCTTGGGGTGCAAGTCAGCAAGCATTGGTGAGTATTTTCTGTTCAGCTGTTGTATGAAACCTCAGTTATTTTCTGACCGCCCTATGCAGGAAAACCGTCCCTCCTTCCTTCGCAAGTCCCGCGGGTGGAAGGGGGCAGAGCAGCTGTCCCCGTTATCCCAAAGGGAGGGCGGCTGCACAGATCCAACTGCAAGTGCTCGTTTCAGAGGTGGCGTTGGAGCGGCAAGAAGCGGATCAAATTCCCAAGTAAACTGCAAGCTAAGCAGGCTCTTATTCGTGATCATCTGTTGCTTGTATAGAAATAGCAGGGCTGGAAGGGACTTCACAAACATTGGAGTCCACTTCTCCGCTCCCCTATAAAATCCGACACCAAGAAGTTGTTCTCACCTTCCTTAAATCAGGTCATCTTCTCCTTGCAAAGTTGTTGGGAGGTTTGTTTGACTGTGGTCTAGGGGTTTAGTTCT